CCACTAAACTAGTATCAAAGGATCTCACCATGCTAGTATTTTGTGTGCCTCAAAAGGACCCCTTGATCTGTAAGGCATATATATACATGGTATATACACATGAGAAAGGATGTCACAGTTCATGACTGCTTGCCTAAGGATGGTGCTACCCACAGTGCGTTGGATCCCCAATAACAATGAGGATGCCCCAATTAACAATAGCAGTTGCCTCAGGTTGAGTGCTGAGGCAATCCTTCAATTGAGAGCCCTCATCCAAAGTTAATCTAGGTTGGGTCGAGTTGACAATAAACAATAACCAGGGCACTTTGGGATTGAATAGATTATGGTCCCAGAATAGGATAGCAAAGACAGGGAGCAGAGTTTGGGAAAGTGCCAAGGAAACTGCTATTGGGCTTAAGAAAAGGTCAATCTATCATACAAACTGAAGAACCATTGGTGAGGATGGCCTTTGATAATTTGGTGGCGAGAAAAAGCATTTCTTAGTATTGATCAAATCAGGAAAGTTTGAAAGGGCTGTTCAAACTAAACTCGCTAGTTGTATAGGAGAATGACTCAATGTGAAGCACTTTGAGAACAGTGGCTGAAGCCAATAGCTGCTGAGAACCAGACACAGGCCTGGGCTTTACAAAGAGAATAGAGTCAGCCTCTAATTTATGACATGCTGACATACAGATGAGTTCATCAGTACGACAGAATTCCATTCTTTTACATTCCATCTTTTAGAATCTTAAACACTTTTGAGTGTTCTAATTCCTGTGTTTTGTTTCTTGAAAACAAAAATTGAAAACACCTATCTTTCAAATTGGGGGAGCTTCAAATAGAGCCCTTCGCTCTCATCTGAAATAGGCTTAGAAGAAGCTTTGTTGGGCTTCAGCATGATGCCGTCAAATGGGAGCACGGGTTTGTGGGAGGAAGGAAGGACATTAATCAGAGGGAAACAGAATGGAATGAGATTCAGAATCACAGCAGTAGCCCTCTGCCAACACAGTATCAGCCATTTACTCCCTCACAGGTCCCCTCCTCCACACTTTGAACCCCATGACACATGAAAAACCTTTAACCTTTTATTTTCTTCCCTGTTTTGTTTGCCTTTCCTTTCTGATCCTACTGTGTTGTAGGAAAGATTATGCTAACTTCTGAAATCTTTTTTGCACATTTAAAAATTTTTTTTTATTTTATAATTTAATTTAATTTTACATATCAGCCACAGATTCCTCTGTCCTCCCTCCTCCTGGCACCCTCCCGCCCTCCCCCCATCCCACACCCCATTCCCATCTCCTCCAGGGCAAAGACTCCCCTGGGGATTCAGTTCAACCTGGTAGATTCAGTCCAGGCAGGTCCAGTCCCCTCCTCCCAGGCTGAGCAAATGTCCCTGCATAAGTCCCAGGTTCCAAACAGCTAGCTCAAGCACTAAGGACAGGTCCCGGTCCCAGTGCCTGGGGGCTCCCAAACAGTTCAAGCTAACCAACTGTCTCACTTATCCAGAGGGCCTGATCCAGTTGGGGGCTCCTCAGCTATTGGTTCATAGTTCATGTGTTTCCATTAGTTTGGTTATTTGTCCCTGTGCTTTTTCCAATCTTGGTCTCAACAATTCTCGTTCATACAATCCCTCCTCTTTCTCGCCAACTGAACTCCCGGAGCTCCACCTGCCACTTCGGAAATCAATATGTTGCTTTCTTAGAAAATTGGGAATCAATCTCCCCCAAGATATATATATACCCAAGGAATGCTCAATCATACCACAAGGGCACTTGCTCAGCTATGTTCATATCAGCATTGTTTGTAATAGCCAGAACCTGGAAACAACCTAGATGCCCTTCAACTGAAGAATGGATAAATAAAATGTGGTACATATACACAATGGAATACTACTCAGCAGAGAAAAACAATGACATCATGAGGTTTGCAGGCAAATGGATGGATCTAGAAAAAATCATCCTGAGTGAGGTAACCCAGACTCAGAAAGACAAACATGGTATGTACTCACTCATAGGAGGATACTAGATGTAAAACAAAGATGACTAGACTGCTACTCACAACTCCATGGAGGCTAACTAGAAAACAGGACCCTAAGAAAGACACAGGGATCGTCCAATGCCAGAGAAATGGATGAGATCTACATGAACAACCTGGACGTGAGTGGGGGTAATGAAGGGCAAGTTTTGAGGGAAAGAGAGCTTAGGGGAGCAGGAGATCCCAGCTGAATCAAGAATAGAGAGGAAGAACAAGGAATAAGAAACCATGATAAATGAAGACCACATGGGAATAGGAAGAAGCAAAGTGCTAGAGAGGTCCCCAGAAATCCACAAAGATACCTCCACAATAGACTACTGGCAATGGTTGAGAGAAAGCCCGAACTGACCTACTCTGGTGATAGGATGGCCAAACACCCTAACTGTCATGCTGGAAATCTCATTCAATAACTTCTGAAATCTTAAGAGGCCACCTAGAGAATAATTCTGGGAAGGAAGAGATGGTCTTACATATTCCAACTCTGGTCAAGCAACCAGAGGGTCACATTACGAAGTTCTGCTTCTTCTGTCTTAGGCTTATCTACTACTGAGATATACAATAATGTTTTGTGTTACTTTGTCTCGAAGAAATATATAGCATACATATCTCTTTGTCATCAACTAGAGTGACTAAAAGAATACATATTCAAAAATAACAAGTATTAATGTTTTCTAATGATTATTTTCTCAGAATAGACTAAACCAACAAAGTCAAATATCGATAATGCTTTTCTTTTCCCCTCCCTAGATGTGTAGTCAAATTATAGTTTGAAGTGTGCATTTTATTCATATAAGTATATTAAGTTCACAAGTAAGTTTATTCATATACATTTGAATACTTTGACATTTATTATGAAAAATTCAGAGGTTTGGCTGTGATATAAAGTTTTGGCAGAGAATGGAATCAATAATATGTATTATTGCAGGAAAGAGAAGAATAACTTGAAAGTATTCAAGCAAATGAATAGCTTAAAATGGAAAGCATAACTTTTTAAATTTCTTCACATCTACTGTGTTTCCCACTTGTTTGAAAATAAGTTTATTACTTATAGTGAGAAGCATATATATTTAGAATTTTCATGAGTACGTTATATTGATTTGACTACTATTTTATGTCAATGGATTTTTAGTTAGTGATCTAGGGATATAAAATCTAAGATTAACTCTTCTCATTCTGCCATACATTATTAGAAATGAAGAGTGTCTGTACAGTACACAGTCCCTTTTGCTTCCATGACCAGATGAAGGATAGTAAAGCTAACAACACTAAACACAGATATGCCATCACCCAATAAACTAATGCTATTTATCATTTATTTAAAACTATCTCTGCCAAGCAATGAGTGAAGGTTTATGCCATATATAAAAGTGAATTTTCACATAGAAAGCATCTTAAATAAAAAAAATACATATGGATGCTAGGTTTGTAATATTTATCCAAAACTCTTTTGCTTTTCCCAAATTTTCAAATAGTTAATTAATATTTATGTATGGCATGCTCTAAGGCAAAACAAATTCATAATCCCTCCCTTCTAGAATCATAATTTATATTTACTCCAGTATAAAATCTTGATATAGGTGAGCAAACACATTAAGTTAACACTTCGTATTAATTTGTATGAAATATTCTAGTGATTAATCATAAAGGCTGTTTCATGCTTTATGCAAAAGATACAAAACTTCCCATGCCTCTATTAATGTTTTCCATCTGCAAACATGACCATCACTTAATGGTTTAGTGAAATTTGTGGTAATCAAGAACCCATGTGTCCTACTGATTAAATCTGTAAACATTCACTTTTATTACTATATATGTGTATATATATATATATACACACACATATATTTGTACTTACATATGCATAGATGTACATATGCATATATAAGAGAATTTTTTCTTTACCTTCTGTATTTCATCTTTTTAAACAAATGTGAATGTAATACCAGTGTATAAATGAATTAAATATAATATGGTGCTAGAGTAAAAAAATTCCTATGAATAACTTACCACTGAGAATAGAACATCTGTAGTACACCACTGTGTACAAAGAGACCACTGTATTTATATATTTTATTATATAAAATTTCAATTTATATGTAGTTAAATAGATGTTCTTTATGAAGGTTAAGTAAAAATTTTAAATGTATATATTTAATTAAGTCTCCATAAGATGATTCATGTGAGAGAAAAATCATTTTTAGTTATTTCACTCTCATAAAAAGAATGTGAAAGTTATAATTTTAAATTTAAATGTATTTTGCAATGCTATTATTTCTTGACAATTACTTTTAAAAATCCTTACTAAAATTAAAAATCTAATGTAGGTGAAAATCTTACTTAGTACTAGCAAAGGTCAGTAGTGAACTGAGGTTGGTGATCATTTCCCATATAAAAATGACATGAATCCCAGAATTCATAAGATTTAAATGAAAGGAGAATATGCTATATCATTTCTATATGAAAGAAAAAACAATATATCAGATATTTTCCTATAGTTAATAGAAGTCAGTTTCTTCGTGGGAGCCCACAGAGGCTTCCTAGTGAAAACTTATTCAGGGTCAGAGAATCTGGGCTTGCTTTACCCAGCAGTGCTGCATAAGGAGATGACTTGGCCACGGGAATGGTTATCAGGTGCTTGGAAGGGTCTACACTTGACTGTTCAGTGTGTTTTGATCTTGCAAGGGGGATGTCTTTTGCCTCTCCCCTTGGCACATTACAAAAAGCCCTTTTCAATAAAGGACAAGGCTGTTGGTTATCGACCCAGGCCTTCCCGAAGCTATCATGTGTTTCTGTCTGTCTTCTCATCTTCTGGGTCTCTCTTTCTATCTAATATTTCCTCATTTCTCTCTCATCCACCTAAGAACCCTTCAAAAGGTGGGAGCAGACCCCCACATTTCTTCAATAAGAAATTATCAGGAAGCACATTCAAAAACTTTTAAGAAGCAATTTAAGATACAGGATAAATTATTTGTATTTTTACATCTTACCGTGGCAAGAACCCTCAATTTCTTCATATCCTGTACTGCAGATACACCTTCCAAGAGGAACAAGCCAATCTCCATCAGCTCCACAGTAGAGTTTAGGAGTATCCCGCTCTTCAGCACTCTTCACACATGAACCCCGCACTTCAACCAAAGAGGAAGAATCAACCCTAGGGATGGTATCAGGAAATATAGCCAAGTTCCGCACAGTGAAGGGGCATTTTTTGTAGAAAACACGGACTGAGACCAGGGCTATGCATGCTCCAATGTCTTGAAAAGCCAAATAAAATCCTTTCCTTTCTATAGGTCCCACCTCACGAATTTCAGTGTTGAGTTTAAGGATTCGATCACCCAAATCCATCTGAGTAAAACTCTCATCAGCAGCAATTGTGTCGATCTTTACATATTGGCTTGGCTTGAATTTTGTCCCATGGGATTCATCCGATTCTATATAATATAGATTAAATGTTTCTTTACAAGTTCCCAAGACCCACGGGATGCTGTTACAATCCCTCAATGTGAACTTCATTTCCACATAAATTTTCTGTGCAGCATCACGAGAGATCCAATTAGTCCGAAGCCAGTTGTTCTGATTTGGTTCCATGACGTTACATACCTGGTAGGTATGTATGGGCCTGTTGTGCTCATCCATTTCAGTAATGGCATCCCACTGCACAAAGGAAAAGAAAAACAGTGAAGTGAGTATAAAACCACTGCCATGAACAGAAATGTTCACATTTAAGAATGTTCTAACAAAAGAAAGTGAGTTAAAATTATGCAATGAAACTGTCCAGAGCAACAAAGCAGCATTTTAACTATGACCCTTTGATCGACAGTATGGATCCTGCTCTTCTGGGAGCTTTCTCCATTAACCACATGACCAAAGCAGCTTTAACACTGTCAGTTTCCTCAACTGTAGAATAGAATTGGTAACATTTCCTGTTTTGTAGGGTTGTTATAAGGCATATGCATTTTAAATATATACCGAAAGTAGTTACAATAGTTCCGGGGAGAGAGCTGGAGTGAGGGCTCCGCGTTAAGAACACATACTGCTCTTAGAGAGAACCCAGGATTTGTTCCCGTCACCCACATCAGGCACCTCACAACCACCTGTAATTATATTTTGGTGACCCGACATCCTTTTCTGGCTTCTGTGAGCATCTGAACTCTAGTGCTCATAGAGAACAGACACATCTCATGCTCACAGAGAAACAGACACATAAACAAAATAAAAAAATAAAAATATTTGTTGACTTAATAAAAGGATTTAAAGTAGCATACATTATTTGATCAAAATCACAAGAACCATGAAAAGTGTTCAGTAGATTTTCCCAATCTACCCTTATATATAATTTGCCACAAAGTGATATATATTAAACAGTATGAAATTAAATGCCTCTATGGTCATTCTGAGATAGACGCAGATATCCTCTGTGCTGGCTTGTTTTCTGTCATCTTTCCACAACCTATAGTTATTGGGAAGGAGGGAAAAATAATATGGAAAATGTCTCCATATTAGACTGCAGAGCACTTTCTTAGTGATTGATATGGGAGTGTCCATTCCATATTGGGTGGTACCACACTAGGTTGGTGGTGCTGGTTTCTATAAGAAAGCAGGCTGAGCAAATGAAGGATGGATGGTTTGACTCTATAATTAACAGTTATTAGCAAAAAGACCATCAGTCAACAGCCAACTAGACTATCATGCCAGCACCAACATTTTGAATAATCCACAGATGCCCTGAGGGATGGGGGAAAACGACAAAAGAAAACCACAGCTAATTTATTTGGCTTCAAGAGGACTAGTCAGTCTGTACTGGGCTTGGTGCTATCTGTTAGGGTTACTATTGCTGTGGTGAAACACCATGGCCAAAAGCAACTTGGGTAGGAAAAGGTTTATTCATTCAGTTCCATATAAGAGTTCATTACTGAGGGCAGGGACTCAAGCAGGATAGTAACTTGGATGCAGGAGCTGATGTAGGTGCAATAGAGGAATGCTGCTTACTGGTTTGCTCAGTCTGCTTTCTTACAGAACCTAAGACCATAAGCCTAGTCATAAAACCACCCACAATGGGCTGGGCCCTTCCCCATCAATCACCAAGAAATTGCCCTATAGGCTTATGGGCAGCTGGATCCTACGGAAGCAATTTGTTAATTGAGGTTTCGTACTCTCATAATTTTAGCTTGTGTCAATTCGACATAAAAATATTCAATACAATTAACCCTTTGCCAGCTTGACACACAAGCACATCACTATTAAGCTACAACTTTCTGTTTCTTGTTCATCCCCAAGAGTACACATTTATCATAATATAAAATATTCTGAAACTTAAAAGATCTATTCTTACAAATTTAAAAAACTTTAAAAATTTAATCTCTTTTAAAATCAAGTCTCTTTTAAAATCCAAACTCTCTCAACTGTAAGCTCTCAACTGCAGGCTCCTATAAAATTAAATGCTTTCTTAACTTCAAGAGGGAAGAACCAGGGCATAGACACAATCTGAACAAAACAAAACTGTGTTAATTAAAATCCAACTTGTTAACTCAAGATCCAACATCTGGGATCCACTCATGATTTTCTAGCCTTCTTGAAAGGGCTTCTGTCACTTCTCTGGTTCTGCCCTATGCAGCACACAGAGCTGGATTCCACTCCACCACTGTTGCTGTTCTTGGTAGTCAACTTACGGTACTGGCATTACCAAAATTCAGGGCTACACTGTTGCAACTTGGCTGCACCTTCACCAGTAGCTTTTCTAGTGCTCTCTTCAGGGACTTCAGCCTTGCCACATAGTCTCAATCCTCATCTGCTCTCCATGACCCCTTCATGCATTCAAAACCAGGACCATCTGGGTGACTATTCCACTACCAAGTTCAGCTGCCAACAAGAGGTACAACCTTGGCCACTTGTATAGCACAGCTTCTGTGTGTTGAGCCTGAGGAAACACTTCCCAGAAGATTTCACCTCAATGATGTTGGTCTCTTATCATTGCTAATTTCTTAGCTCCAGCTGCAAAGCAAAGGCGTTCCCTCAGTGGTTCTGGTCTCTTGTTAATCACAGCTGACTCTAGATCCAGCTAAACAGAACTATAGTTTAACTTCAAATATGTAAAGACCCTGATAGAATCTTTGAGTGATTCTCAACCTTTCTCCTGGAACTTCCCAAGCCAAGTCTCCATCCTCTCCATTTCTCTTTACATTTTTAATCTTTCAACCTCCCACAAAACAGCTCATCAATATTTGAACACTCAATGACTTTTCTAGCCCACAATTCCAAACATCGAACAAAAACAACATAGTCACTTCTGCAACAACAATATCCCCAAATCCGGGTACCAATATCTATCTTAGTTGAGGTTACTCTTGCTGTGATGAGAAACCATGACCAAAAGCAATATGAGGAAAGAGTTAATTTCACTCATAATTCTATATAACAGTTCATCATCAAAAGCAGTGAGGGCAGTACCTCAAGCAGAGCAGGAGCCTTGAGGCAGGAGCTGAAGTAGAGGCCATGGAGGCATGCTGCTTACTGTCTAGCATTTACTGGATTACTCAGCCTGCTTTCATATAGAACCCAACTCCACAAGCCTAAGGATGAAACCACCCACAATGGGCTGGGCCCTCCCCTGCGGGGCATTTACCCACCAACCCTACAGTTCCCCAGAGTTTTCTTGAGTGCGAGCAGCAGGAAATATTAGATAGAAGGATTTAGATTGTGGAGATAAACAGATAGAAAATAAAGGGTAGCCTCAAGAGGGCCTAGAACCTATTCCAACAAGCCTTGACTGTCTCTGCCCCAGAGTATTTATAGAGCGCCAAGGGGTGGAGAAACCCCACCCCCACCGTACCCCCTGCCCCAGCACAGCCAAGTGCAGACCATCTCAGGCACCTGCACTCAGGCCCATGGTCCTAATCATCCTTTCTATGTGGACCTGCTGGGTAAAGCCATGAGGAACCTGAAAACGGGCTCCCACACTCCCCCATCAATCAATAATTAAGAAAATGCCCTACAGGCTTGCCTACAACCCCATTTTATGAAAGCATTTTTTTTAAATTGGGGTTCCCTCCTCTCAGATGACTTTAGCTTGCATCAAATTGGCATAAAATTATTCATCACACAATCAAAAACCTCAACTAACTCTGAATCTCCCTTCAACATTGTTTTGCTTAGTCTAGATGCACTTCCCTGATGGCCTAGCAGAGGGACTGGTATGAAACAGCCAAGGCTGTTTGGACAAAGGGATTTGTTCAAACGTAAATTTCCATTTGCCTGGGAAGTATGCTATGATTGGTTCCAATACCTTTCTCCGCCTATATAAACAAGGCATTAGGTAAACTGGATGAACAGGCCAGGAGACAATCTCCTGTATTTCCTGCTGTGATGGTGTTATATTAGATACCATAAAAAGGCTTATCCCAGGTGGCCTTTTCTTGCCTTCATCTAGTATCATGGAGCTAAACAGAAAGAAATAAGCATCAGAGACAGCAGAATGAAATGGTGGCGGACGTAATGGCACTGAGCAGTCAGGAGGCCAGGCCAACCTCTAAAAGAAACAGACATATGGCTGCTAGAGAAGAAGCAGCTGAACAGTTTTAGCGCCACCAAGACTGGAAGACAAAAGGTCCAGAAGTTATGAGATGGCAAAAGAGGTTGGAATGGTAAAGCTGCTCTAAGGACTCAAGAGAAGAGAAAGTAGAGCCTTTGGTCACTGGAAGATTTCTCCAGAGCTGTAGAATGTGTAGGGCTAAAGGTCTCAGACACTTCAGACTGAGACTTTTAACACTAACTGGTTCAATCTGGATTCCTAGGCCTGTATCAGTGTGATAACACTAATGGTTGTTAAGGGCTAAGGAACAACTGTCCATAGCTGTAATGCCAACCACTGAGGGATCCCAACATTTTAGACATACACAAGAGTTATGATGCTGCTATTATCATCTGTCTGTTGTTCCTGTTTGTTACTGTTCGCCATCTAGAGATACAACAGCTGTCAAAGAGCTTCCCTTCGTCTTCCCAGGCTTTCTATCTGGGTAAAGTAGACAGCACAAATTGGTAAAATTTTGATAGAAAATAAACATAGACAAGGCCTTAGATTAATAAAAAAAAATTTCAGTCATTCTTGCAGATATGAGAATACCGTAGTTAAGGAGTCTTTATTAGGGATTATGTTAGCACATGACTATCAAGTGAGTGAATGCCATGGTAGGAATACAGTAACAGAATACATCACAGATATGAAGAGGAAGAAATTTAAAAATTTTTTTAAGTCTCCTAAAGTCAACTTCACTAAGGAACTGGCAACTTGTGTAATATCTTAGGGAAGAGATAGATTGGAGAACAAACAGTAAGTCCAATTACAAGACAATATGTGCATAAATATAGTTTAGGAAGCAAACTGGTAAGAGCTGCCTAGAGAGCTGATCTAAAAGTCTTTCCAAGCATTTTAAACTTTGCCTTTTGTTCTGAGTTAGGCCATTAGATTTCCTTCCCTATTTTGTGTTAAATAAAAGCGTTTTTATTTTAGTTGATTCAATTGGAAGGCCTTGCTAACCCTTCTTAATATAGCAATTTACCAAGACATTTGAATACTTTGAAATCAGTGAGTATTGGTATGTGTGTCCCTCAACTTTTATATTCTATTTTGCACATGAGGACTGTAATTGTATTTTATT